TGCAAACATCGTAACAACTGATACACCTGAACCTGATAATTCACCTGCTGGATCTGCTGAGGAGGTTGCACAGTTTATGGCTTCCATCCAAGATGCTATTGATGAAAATCAAAAGATACCAGTAGAGTCATTTTGTCCTATTCCAGAATCCATTATCAAGTTGCCCACACCTGAAGGAGCAACCGCTTATCGTCGTCAGTACAGCATCCCGCATACATTGAGGCCTGTCCTAGATGAACAGATAAATGAATGGCTTAGAACAAAAACAATAGAGAAGTGTGGTGTCAATACTTCTTTTAATAGCCCGGTGTTACTTGTACCTAAAAAGAACAAACAGGGTGAAATTGTCAGCCATCGAGCTTGTTTGGATGTTAGACTTTTAAATAAGATCTTACCACCAACATATAACTTTGAAGTGCCACTGGTGAGAAACATTTTTGAAAACTTAAGAGGCAAGAAGATTTTCTCAACTCTTGATCTCTCTAATGCATATCATCGCTTTAAAATCCATCCTCCAGATGCGCATAAATTAACATTTTCTCATAATGGACAGCAATACTGCTTCATCAAGGGATGCTTTGGACTAAAGAGCCTAACTTCTCAATTCTGTAAGGTTATGGCCATTTTGTTTGAGGGTATGGATTGCGTTCAATCTTTTGTTGATGATTGTATCGTGGCCAGTGAAACACCCGAGCAACATGCCAAAGATGTCAAAATGGTGATAGACAGATTGATACAAGCCAAATTGATTTTGAATCCAAAGAAATGTGTTTGGTTTCAGCAGTCAGTTAGGATGCTTGGATTTGTGGTCAATGCAGATGGGATTATGGTTGATAAAGCCAAACTCACTAACGTTGAATCATGGCCAGTACCAAAGACAGCGAAACACATTCAACAGTTCATGGGGTTAATCAATTATTTTAGAGAATTTGTACCGATGATCTCTACTGTTGCTGAGCCTTTGACTAGATTAAGCCATGCAAAGAACGTAGAAGAGCTGTGGTCTGATGAGCAAACTAAGAGCTTTAATGCCTTGAAAGCCATCTTGCACTCAAATATGCTTTTGCATTATCCTGATTTCACCAAAGAATTCTTTGTTGCCTCTGATGCTTCTCAGTATGGTATATCCGCTGTATTATTTCAGAGAGATGATAAGGGTAGAGACAAATATATTAGTTTTGTGTCCAATGCTCTATCACCCTCACAACGCAGATGGAGTGCTACTCGTCGTGAGTTATATGGTGTTCTGATGGCTTTTCGTCGCTTCCATCAATATATTTGGGGACGCAGATTTACATTGCACACAGATCACAAAGCATTGATTTATATGCATACTCAACGAGATTGCAACAATATGATGTTGAATTGGTACGAAGAAATTCTGACTTATGACTTTGATGCTGTGCATATTCCTGGTATCCTTCTTAAATTGCCAGATTTGTTGAGTCGTTTGTATTCCCCTCTCGACCAATTCGAAGGTGATCACAAACTGGTAGGGGGTAGCACTGGCAATCGAAAGCGAAATGTACAAGCTGCCAAAATAAAAAGAGTTGCTATTTGCAGGAAGAAATATAGCAGAGATAAAAACCTGCATGTTCTTACCACGCAGCTGGTTGAGCAGACTAAAGAACCACTTGATTATTTTACACCGCCTGAGACTGAAAGAGAAAAGCTCTTGCGTGATGCACATACTTTTGGACACTTTGGCAGCCATGCTATTGTGCGTGAACTACACTCTCAAGGACTTCATTGGACAAATATGTATCAAGAAGCCAAGGAACTAGTAAGTTCATGTCCTGAGTGCCAAAAGCATAATATAGCAAAAAGAGGTTACCATCCACTGACAAGCATTATTGCATTGCGACCCTTTGATCATGTATCTGTTGATTCTGCAGGTCCTTTTCCTGTAACTGAAAATGGGAATACTGAAATCTTGGTCTTGACTGATATTTGTTCAAAATATATTATTGTCAGAGCACTTAAGAACCAACAATCAGATACCATTGCTCATACATTGATGCAGATCTTTGGAGACTATGGATTTCCTCGTATCCTACAATCCGACAATGGTAGAGCATACCATAACTTGTTACTTGAATCTATTTCGAAAAAGCTCGGCATTGATCGAAGGTACTCCACTCCCTACCATCCTAGAGGAAATGGAAGTGCTGAATCCAGTGTAAAAACTGTTGAAAACACACTGAGAAAGATGTGTCAATCGAATAGCAAAGACTGGGATTACTACTTACCAGTAGTCCAGCTTTCTATCAACAACGCTATCAAGAATAAGACGTTGAGTTCACCCTTCTCATTGATGTTTGCACGCAGAGTCGGCTTACCTAAAAATTATGAAGAAAAGAACAAATATCCACTTCCTAGAGATATGATGACGCGTGATGATCTTGAGCAGCGCATTGATCACATGGAGAAGATTGTCTTTCCCGCTATCTTTGAAAGAACTCAAAAGATAAATGAGGAATATAATAAGAGGTTCAATACAAAGAACATACTTGTTGATATTGAACCCGGAACACATGTTATGGTAAGACTGCAAAAGAGACCGAGTAAACTGTCTCCATTATATGAAGGCCCCTATACTGTTGTAAGAAGAAACAAAGGTGGCTCATATGAATTAAAAGACGAGCAAAATGAATTATTGCATCGTAATTATACACCATCAGAACTGAAGATTGTGACCATTGACGAATCAACCATTGAAGAAGAATACTTTGAAGTAGAAGATATTCGTGATCATCGTGGCAAGCCAGGAAGACGAGAGTACTTGGTTAAATGGACTGGTTTTGGTGAAAGAGCTAACACTTGGGAGCCTGCATCTAGTTTCCAAGATCCTACAATCATCAATCGCTACTGGGATAAAGTTGAAAAACTAAAAAGATTAGAGCATGAACGCATTGAATCAAAATCAAGCGATAGATCTGCATCTAACAAAGAGAATAAGAATGGTGTACTACACAAGACAGGAACAAAGAGAAGAAACCATCCTACTAGACAAAGTAGAGAGGAATTATCCACAAATGGAAGAGCTAGCAAAAGAATTAAATGCTAAGTGACATGAAAGAGAAGAAGACTATTTTCCTTTTGAAGAACACAAATTGCATAGACTCTAAACCATTTTTATGTCAAGTAAAGTTATATCAAGCCTAGATGTTCACATTGTAAGAAGCCGTTTACAACTATCAAAGATGAGTTGACTCTGGAGGAGGGTAATGTTGTGAACATATATGAACTCATATGCATAGATCAATAAATGATGATCATGGCAAAAGACCAGATCACATCTATGGCAATTGCAATGGATCTATAGTCACTGACATTCACTCATTCTACTAGAAGTACTACATCATCCTCATAGTCAGAGATTATTAACTTAGTGACTCTGCTATTATTAATGACCCTCATAAAGTGACAGTTAGAGCTGACAAATACATTAACATTGGCATTTGACAAATATGTAATAGTTTATTCAAGTTCAGGTCAGATCATGTACTATTGGCTGAGCTGACAACTTCCTCTAAAGGCATTTCTCTTAATTGCTCCTGATCTAACAAATCAATCCGTAGTCAAGAAGCTAATCCAAAACAATATTTTGACTGAGAAGAAAAAGTATAAATACCTCGACATTTTATAGCAATTGAAAGATAACATTTTTCTTGGAGAAATAAAAACCTATACAAGTTCTAACGGACTTTCTCTGTGTTCTTACCTTTTCTCTTATTGAATATCTACTCTCTCTTCATCTCACAACATATTTTATTAATAAACAATTTTATGGGCTACTCTATGGAGCATAATGCCAAATTGTATGAACAGTTTTTACAAAAGAGAAAAAGGAGAGAGAGTGAAAAAAACCTGACAGAAAGCAGACAACAGGAAAAAAAAGTAAAAGAGAAAAGAAACAGAGACAGAAAGAGTATTGTATATTTGCATGATTCCAAAGGCATGACCAACGGCTGGGAACTTTGATAATCACTTACCACCGTGGCAGCGCAGAGGAAAGACATGACAAAAATAGTTCGTCTATGACGAGACCAGAGGAGGGAGCCAACGATCACCAGGATCTTGATCAGGACGGATATTTGCAAGAGGATGCACAAGTACATCAATTGCATAGAGTAACTGAAGCAGCGCCGACCAAAAGGGAGGAGGACCAGAGGAAGCCTTAGTTGGCAGTTGATTCAGAGCATAATCAAGACGATGAACACCAGCAGGAGCAATAGGTAGTGCATCCCATAATGCTGGGTCAAGCGCCTGACATGACAAAAAGTGTTCACGGGAGACAAAAGCACCAGAGAGACAAGGACATTCTTCACGCATATTCGCAAAGCGACCAAGACGCCAACGCACCAAGCGACTACGAGAAGTACGAAGCATGGGCAGGTAAAGAATTGGATCCGGCTTAGACGTACAAGGACGACAAGCACGGAGAAGGACGGAACGACCACGAGCCGCATGTCGCACCATCTGGCGGTCAAATTGGCTCTGCCATTGTCGTCTAAAGTGAGTGCGAAGTTCAGCATTAGAGACGGGCTGTGGGTCCGGTCACTATGGCGGATTAGTTGTTTGACTTTACTAATATTGTTCGCAAAACAAACAAGAAAAAGTAACTTTTTTGCTAATGTTGTTCGAAATGTCAACAACTTTTATTTTATTTTTCTAAAAAGCAAGTCATATCATTCAAAATCATTAATTTTATTGTTTGTGGGGAACAAACTTGTTCGTTTTGTCAACAATAAAAGTTATGAGGCGACAAGTACTGCGACAATAATAGTAGCTTTATGAGTAAAAAAATTACTTATTTTTTTTTTTACAAGTACAATAATACTGATAATGTTTCTTATAAAAAACCAAAAAAAAAGGGTTTGCACAAGGCAATACGTTGATGCACTCCTAAGAGTTTGACATGAGACTCATCTAAAAAGGGTATATTGAGTTATGTTGAATATTTAGTAATTGTTTAGGTTTTTTTTAGCAAAAATAACTTTTTGGTTTTTCTTGCAATTGTCTTTCTGTCTTACAAATATGAGCCAAACGACTATTTACAAAATCACTCAAATGCAACAACAAGTTTCCCAACTCGAACAAAAAATCGAAACACAGACTCAAATACGTAAGGGATTGATGCATTTATTAGCACCCTCTTTTGCTCAAAGTGATAGTAATGAGATCAACAGTGAAGTTCTTGAAGCAGCTAAGCAAGGTAAAAAAAAACAAGCTATTTCTCTAAGATATGTATAAACTTTTATTTCTTCCTGAAAAATGCAGCAAGAGAAGGCGGTATTGTCAATTCTCTTAATCTAAACTTGATGGGCTTTTGAGACATTCCTAGAGTACTTGAGGAAGAAAAAAAAGCATTCGGCTCTCATGGAAAACATAGATATGTTACGCCACGGCTGCGTTTGCTTGCCCTGATCAACTTATTCAAGAAAGAAAGAAATATGACTGATCTCTTAATTGATGATAAAGTGAATGAGAATGACTACAGGATCCTCAGAACAATCGCAAAAAATACCCACGATGAAATGGAGTTAGAGCTGCTGAAAGCTTTAAAGAGAAATGACAAAGCAGCTGTGTTGCCTTTATGGTCTGAAGTGTCTTCTGCTCTAATCGCAAAATACACATTTAAGCTTGAAAGCAATGCAGCTACTCATGGCTTTCATCTTCAAAGATTTCAGCATTCATGGGCAGCCGGTCTATTGCTCTTCGAAACACAAAAGCACAGAAGTAATAGAGCAAGAAATAAGGCTTCTGTTGTTGAAAGAGAGAATAACTCTAGGATCAGGTATAACAAACGCAAAACATGCATTCAATGAAATTTTAAAATGCCTAAGATGAATCAAAATTATACAGTGAAAACCAAGTTAGTGTTGAATCTCTTCGAAATGAAAAGCCTTCTTTAGAGTACGCAAACCTATATTGTGGTGATAAATTTGAGGATTCTGAAGATGACATCTTTTCGGAATGGAAAACAACTGTCGTCCTTGTTCTCCTTCTCCACCTCTTCCACCTTCTCAACCTAAGAAAAGGGGCAAACGCAATGAAGACAAAAGCCAATCAGCCAAGTCTAAGCGTACAAGAAGAAGTAACAAAAAATAGTCACGACCTTAAATAATAAAACAATTTTTTTTCTATCACCTTCTCTTAAAACGTTTATGTTATAGATAAAGTTCACAGCTCCTGAATTCAGCCTACATCCAGAAGCTTAAACTCTCTGAAACCTTATGATTGCATAACATTGACTCATGGTCTTACTCATCTTAAGAATTAGACAGTACTTCCAGCGCTTTTTTAACAATCTGAAGAATTGCTGCGCTCCTCTTTGATTGGTATGGAAGAACGCCTTTTCCGCAGTGAAGTTTTTTTTCTCTAACATAGCCATAGACAGAAATTGATATACTACTGGGCCTTTATATAGATAAAAAACAAAAGTCGAAACCAGAGTTAGAGTGTAAGTAAACATATAAGAGCTACTTGTTTCTTTTTGTTCCAAGTTTTGACATGGAATGTCACATCGCCTGGTCCCGGTACTGGTGAGTGTTGTTTTGGAAAAGAGTTTTGACATTGCCTTGTTCTAATTTAATTAGTTTGTTTGTTCTATATGTTTAGATGAGATTAGTGTGCTTCCATTTAAAATCAAAGTATGTTTAATCTGTAGATGGCTCTATTTTTGTCACTTGAAAGCTAACGTAGCGCCTTTTATTTTCTAGATTCCAAAACAAGTTCTTGCTGTCTCTTGATTTATAGTAAGTCTGATATGTTATTACACACCTTCAATATACTCAAAACTAACTTTTTTTTTCAAAAAAGAATGCCCTCCTAAAGGAATTGACTATTTATCCGTACAAGACATGCACTTTGTCAGGTAAGTTTGATGGATAGCAAGATGGTGGTTTTTTTCTTTTTTTTATTAAAAAAACCATATACTACATACAAATTATTTTCTGTGTCTATCAGTGTTGTCTCAATTCCGAATGACAAAACGAATTGCTCATTTAACACTCTTGCCTCGCTTGTATATTTCTGTTTTCATTAGATTCAAGTAGTGCTTCTTTTCTTTTAGTATTTCTTAGTAAAAGTATCGTTTTTTTCATTTATAATAAGCGTCTAATTTCTAATAATCCTAAAAAAACAAGTGACATTACGAACAATGTTGGTAACTAAAGCGCCAAAACACTTGGTTGTTTTGTAGCCAAAGTTGTTCCAGAAGTAAACAAGTTATTGCTGTTTTGTTGCTAATATTGTTCGAAAAGCGAACAATAAATTTAGTTGTTTTGTTACTAAAGTTGTTCGAAAAGCGTACAAATAATTTGGTAACATTTCGAACAACTTTGTACGTTGAAAAATTGATGCCAGCTATTTCTCAAACAACCATTTTGCTGTAAAAATTGGTAACTTTGCGAACAAAAATTGTACGTTTTGTAACTAACTTTTCCGCCATAGTGGGTAGTGAACGGTACAAGACATTCTGTTGAAGAAGCTTGACCAGGCGAGGGTACCGTAGTTGATCACGCAAAAGCACTATCAAGCAGTCATCAGGGAGGTATTGTACACGCAAAGCAAATTTGGTGACAAGGATGTTGTACCTATGATTCATGGCAGGAAGACAGGTGAGGTGTTTTGCAACTTGAAACCAAGAGCCACCAACAAACATACGGACCAGGCGATTCTGCAGATCATCTAGGTGTGTCATGTCTGCCGAAGCAAGACGGGATATAGCCAAACCATACTCTATCTTGGGACGAATAAAGCAGGCATACAGCCGAGAGGACAAAAGAAGTGAGAAACCATTGCGGTGAACACCGACAGAGGTTAGCAGAGCCATGGTCTTGATGGCCTTAGCAGATCTCAAAGAGATGATGCCAGGTCCATGGATGCCTTTTTCTCGAAAGGGTACACCAAGATAGATGAACTCGTCCACGAGGGGCAGAGATTCGCCATACAATGTCAATCGAGGGCCATCACAAGGTGAGTTTAGAACTGCACACTTGGCCGGACTCCAACGATATCCAAGGGAGCAAGAATGCTCAGCAGCAAGGTTCAACATATGCTGGACTTGACTACGAGAGCCGAAGATCGCAACATCATCCGCAAAAAGAAGACAATTCAGAGGAATTGCATCAGACATACCAGGAGGACATACCAAAGTAGTACCAGCCGTAGCAGCAGAACGAAGGAGAGAAGGAAGAGAGTTAATGTACAAAGAGTACAAGTGCGGAGAGAGAACAGAACCTTGCAGAACACCCGTGACAGGCTGAAAGGGAGTAGAAGAGTGGTTGGCTATCAGCACAGATACTTGTACGTCGTCAAACAAGTTGACTAGTAAAGCAAGCACAGGCCGAGGTAGAGAGGAGCGAGCCAGTACATCCCAGATGACACGTCTGTCGACAGTATCATAAGCAGCCTTGATGTCAAGAAAAGCAACAACAGGACGGCGATGGTTGGTTAGAAAGTAATCATGCATCAAGTCATGCAAGCATAGAGCTTGATCCAGAGGACTACGTTGAGGACGGAAACCACCTTGCGCAATGTCCAGTGTAGGCGAGTGTTCATGAAGACAATCAGCTATTGTAAACTCAAAGAGCTTACGCATGACTGATGTCAACGAAATCGGTCGATAGTTGGACGGATCAGAGGGATCACCTTTTTTGTGTATCGGGTATACATTAGCAAGACGCCAGAGAGAAGGAGTATAAGCCCATTGATAACACAGGGAGAACAGGAGAGACAAAAGCGGGGCAAGGTCCTTGGTCACGGCCTTCAGCATTTCTGCTTTCAGGTGATCGCTTCCAGGTGCCTTCCGAAGAGGTAAACGCTTGATGTAATCCATGATCGTGTCTGCTGAGAACATATCCAAATTGGATGGCAAGACAAAAGGAACCAAACTATCACAGGAAAGTGGTGGGGGTGGACGAGATTCTGATGGGGCAACAGAGAGCCAGCATAGACCGAAGTCAAGTGAGTAGCCATAGCATCTACTGAAGCTTTAGGGCCATCTTTGTGAGCATAAGTACCGGAACAATCACGTCTTCTTTTCATACGAGAGAGGGTGCCAGTGGCTTTAGAAAAGTCTTGTTCCAACTGAGCACAGAAGTTCTTCCAAGAGAGACGCTTAGCTTTAGCAACAAGACGACGAAAGTGACGATGTGCATCATGATGCAACGACCACCAGTAAGCTTTGTCAACACCAGAGGCATGACGCCACCTACTATAACAGCGATCGCGTTCTCGAGCTGCTGATTCGATATCAGGAGTCCAGTACTTCTTCCACCATTTTCCAGACCGATGTTGTCTTGCACCAACCGACCCATCCAAAGCCTCGTAGAAGCACCCATTAAGAGTAGCATTCAACTCGTCAATATCAGGGCGTTCAAGCGGTGGCGCAGAGACCAGCTGACTCAGAGTAGATTCCAGAGGAACTACAAGTGAGCGAAACTTGCTTTGGAACAGTGCCAAAGGTTCCTTTTCCCGCAAGCGAGATAGGTTCCAAAGGCGTCGTGGAGCAAGACCGTCAGAGCCAGCATGAGCCCCAGATCCCAAAGTAGAATCATAGTCGAATGACAAAGTCATCAACCGGTGATCAGACCCAAGGGAGAGATCAGATTCTACTGCGACTTGAGCACCACGCATATTCCACGAGGAAATATTTGTAATGAACAAATCGATGATACTACTCATTTCCATACCACGTCGAAACGTTGTAAAGGTGGGCACACCACGACAAAGAGTAGTATTCAGCACAGCCAGGCTCGTTGTTCAAGCCATGCACGCATAGCAAGACCACGCGAGTTGGTAGCGGAATCACCAGTGAATCACCAAAGCGAGCATTAAAGTCACCACAGAGGATAGAGTCAGAGTTGAGAGGAATTGAGGAGAGAGCGGATAGCACCAGCTCATTAGAGAGACTGGGTGGAAAGTACGAACAATGCACATTGACTGCTCCCATTTTGAGTGAGAGAGTATATGCATTGAAAGACGGCAACTGGGTGACAGGAAAAGGACAGGAAGGAGAGACAAGAGCAGAGACACCACCAGAACCACGGTTGTTTGCACCAACTACCTTTGATCCATATAGATGGTATTGCGACCAATCTATAGGAAGATAGCCGGCTGTGAGCCAAGTTTCAGTGATAAATAGGATACTGTGTCAAGACATGTGATATAACATCGTGGATGGTCGTGGTTTTTAGGCCATTCGCATTCCAGATGCTAATGGAGAAGGAGCGTGATGGGTGGGCGGGAGTATGGATTGGATCCATACTCATTAAAATTCCATTTCGGAATCAGTGGCAGAATCCTCAACAGCCGTTTTGTTTCGGAAAACAAAAGCAGCTTGCTTTGGATTTTCCTTTTCCAAACGAGAACGAGCAGAAGCAAGAGCCAAAGAGAGGTCAGCATCGTCAATCCAACCCAACTCAACGAAGGATCGACCAACAGGGCCAACAAGAAGAGGACGCAAGAAAGAGAGGGTATCCACAGCGCGGCTGTTCACCAGTGAGGCCATTTCGCTTGCTCTGTTTGCTTCAGACAAAGCAGCGAACTTGGGATCAGCAAGGTGCTTAGGATCCAAAGGATCGAAGCCACCGACCAATTCAGCACCTACCTTTTGCATGGTAGCAGTGAATTGCTCCACATACTGCACATGCATCAGGAGGCCAAGCACACCAGAAGCAGGAAAAGAGATGTCAAGGATGCGTCCAGTATCCACACCAGAACGACGGAGACGAGAGCGGACTTCAGATCTATTGATCTTACGAGAGCGACCAAGGTACACATATGTAAAGCCCTGAGGACCTTTGGCAGCAGGGCTCACAAAGGCACGGGCAGCAGCAACTCGTTTCTTCTGCGAAACGCGGGCAGGACGGGCAGGAGAGAGGCAGGCTTAGCAGCCTTGGCTGCCCAAGAGGAGGCATGGATAGATGAGCCAACACTGCCTGGGTGTGTGGCAGTGGGAGTAGGGGAGAGACAGGAGAAGAGACCTGAATGCCGCCTTCGGACATTGAAAAATTTGACTCGAGAGTCCGGACACGAGAAAGGAGCTTGCTGTTTTCTGACTCCAAGAAAATTTTTTCCTTCTCAAGGATGGAAACCTTTTCTTTCAGAGCTATGAGTTCTGAAAAAACAGTTTCGTGTTGTTGTACCTGTTGTGCTAGGGTCAGCACAAGTTGATGCAACTGCTGGATGTCCAGGTGAGTTGCCATTTTTGATG